TGTTACGATTGAGGCTAAGACACCACTCATCACACCATTTTTGCAAGCGATTCAAATTTTCTTGTAACTGTGCAGAGTCTTCCGGTCTATCTATAACTTTCCACAATTTGAGATCGTCGGCAAACATTACGCGCTCGCAGTTCGGACAGTCCAGGCAGTCTTTCACATATATTAAGAACAGAATTGGACCCAGAGCGCTCCACTGCGGAACGCCACTGTGCACGAATGCCCATTCCGATCTAGCGTTTCCGATACACACACGCTGAGATCTGCCCGTAAGATAATCGGCTAGCCATTTCAACAGATTTCCATTCACAACCTCTTGACGTAGTTAACATATAATTCGTCTGTGTGGAGCACTGTCAGAAGCCTTTTTGAAGTCAATGTACACGGCGTCGACTGATAAGCCCATGTCGTTTGATTTCGTCCAGCTCTCCATGGATACTAGGAGGTTAGTGAGACAGGATCGACCGCTTCGAAATCCGTGCTGATGTAGACTGAGCAAGTTGTTTTCTTCGAGGTGCCGCATCAGCTCCATTTTTATTACTTTCTCCATCAACTTGCGACAGATGCTCGTGAGATTCACTGGTCTGAAACTATTTGGGACTGTTCTCTCGCCACCTTTATATATGGGGCTTATATTTGCTTTCTTTCAGTCGGTAGGCAAAGCCCCGGTCTCAATCGAGGTTCTGAAGATCCTGGATAACGGAGAGGCCAGTTGGTCTGAGAGTTCATCCAGGACTTTTGCGAACACGCCATCCGGACCAGGGGATTTAGTGGCCTGCAGTTGACTCGAAGATTTCCTCATCGTGTCTGTTGTGGAGTCTGCCGTGCTAATTTTATTGTTTGATTTGACAATTGGGAGGTAAACTCTTTCATCAAAGGCCGGCTCCTCGGTATACACAGAAGTGAAGAAGTCGGACAACAGGTTCGCCTTATGTGAGTTGTCAGACAACGTATTTCCCTAGCGATATTTTAGGCAGGGAATGCAATCCCCGTTGCGTTTTGCCTTATTCAAGTATCCAAATAATTTTTTTGAATTTTGTGAGATATTTTTTAGAAGTTTTGACTCAAACTGTGTCCGTTCCCTCCTCAACAGATTCTGACATACATTTCTCTGCTTTTTGAAGTCAGCGAAATGCTCTGGTTGCTGACATCTGGCGTATTTTTTCCAAAGTCTCCTTTTCAATTTAAGGTTCTTCCTTATTTCTGACGTCACATACTCTGGTCGGGAAGAGCGCAGTTTCCTCTTCAGTGGACAACAGCTCTCTACCAAGTGGTGCATTATGTCCATGGAGAAGAGCCAATCGCTTTCTGTGTCAGGTCCTTGTGCTGCATTCCTGTTCACCTTCTGTAGCAGAGTTTTCATTTGGGGATAATTCCCTTTCCATACATTTCTTTCCTCAGCAGCTCGAATCTCGCGTACAGAAAAATGACTACACTCCCAAACAAGAACGCAGTGGTCACTTCGGCCAAGGGGCGTGTGTAATTCCAATCCGAGAATGCAACTGTCATCCCTAGTGATTATGAGGTACAAACAACTGGACTGCTGTCCATCTCTGAATCGAGTGTCCACTTTAACATGTGGGGGAAGGAACTCAGTTGTGATCAGTTGCATAAATTTCTGTTCGAAGGAGTTTTCTGGTCGCGTGCAATGCATCAAATCCCACTCTATGCCTGGACAGTTGAAGTCACCAAGTAGCATTATTTGTTTACTTCTACAAGTTTCTTTTATCTCGGTGATAAGTGCATCTTCCGCATCCGTCCGCTGGATTGGCGGTCTGTAAACCAGGGCCATATGGAGGCTTGGATGGTTTGGCACCTTCAAGTAACAACTGAGTATTCCACAATCAATGTGTTGAAATGGGGGAAGACTCAACTTTGACTTAGTCGATGCAATCTCGTATAAATATCGCAATCCCCCCACCCCTTCGTTCGTTTCGGTTCATTCGGAGAATCTGGAAACCATCTAGCATAACTTCCGCGTCTTCTGTCTGCGCATTTAACCATTTTTCTGTTAAAGCTATCAAGTCGGGTTGGAAATGAGCCACGGTGATTTTTATTTCATTCAGTTTGTTGAATAAACTCTGCACATTTATGTACATCACTTTTATGTTATTCGGCTGTTTAGAGCTCTGGAAACTGTTTGCTGGTACTTTTGACGGATAGTTATTAATACATATTTCATATGGTGTACCAAGTCCACTAGTGGATTTTGAATTTACTAAAGTTTGTCGGAACCGAGCGCCGGTGCTTTTACCGTCAATGTCACCGGATGATTCCACAAGAAGGGACGCTCTATTTTTACAATTAAATCGTTTGCTATTTTCAGATTTACTTCGTCCTCGCTCTGACGTTTTCTCACTTCCGCTACCAGCGTCATCATTTTTATCCGTTCTATTGGGTGATAGTCCGGCTGAAAAAAAACACTCCACGATGGTTGTTTCGAAGCCTGGACTTCGCGACAAGATGAGATCCGCTTGCTGTTCGTTTCCCAATACGACTTTTAGCGGTCTCGGCCGCACTTTCACTGCGTTGTTTCTGACTAAAGGTCCCGAACAGAAGATCTTTTGGATTTCGACGACCTCACCGTGGAATACGTAAATGTCGGCATTTTCGGTAAAGCGGTTTCTATGTGAGGTTCGTGGGTATTTGGAAACCCACTATATTTAAGTTCATGGAGCTCGAGGAAAAGCAGGCGATTGTAAAGACGAAGTTTTCTTAGAGAAACTGGGTTTCTTCTCTGTTCGAGTTGCTGAAATTGCTCTCGGACTCGTCTTTGAGTTAGGCACTTGCCTTTGTTTACTAAGAGCAATTGGCGGATTTGGTATAAATGTTTGCATACAAGGTAAGTTTTTGCGTGTAAGGATCTCAACACCAATATACGTCGAGTTCTTTACGGGAAGAACTACTTCATGACGTTGCGAGGACGCATATGCCATTGAATAAGACGTATTCAACACGAGAACAATGATCGTTTTGCTGGTTTTGACCGTCGAAATTTTCAAATCTCCGCGATTTTTATTCATGGCATTGTCTTCATTGTTTGTTGTGCGACTGTAGTTAACTTGTCATTTTCACGTCTACTGCCTCAATGAGCCCATTTGTAAAGTCGCCTTTGTCGTCAAAATATTTATGTGAACGCCGGGCTACGGGCAGTGAAATTCACTTATTGCATGGACAAACGCAAGTGACCTTTTTGACAAGGAGTGACGTCGTGAACGGGATCGGTAGTACTAAATTATATGGCTCCCTTAAAGGGGCATGGGAATAGTACCGTCCAACCCTAGTTAAAAAAAGTGGACCTGCACTTAACTCCAGGAAGGGTAAAATATTCCCGTGTCCTAACCCCAACAATAACCCCAATATAAAACTAAATCGTTGCTCTAATCCTGACCCTAACCCCAACCGTAATCTTAATTCCGCTAATAACACGAGCCTCCACCTTAAGACCCAAATTTGATCACAACTTGCCTTACTGTCAACTTTAAATCTTGCCTTACACCTAGTCCTTTACCTAATCCTGCCCCAACCTTGAACGTGATCCCAATTTTACTGAAATCTAGCTGAATGCCACCTGTATTGCAAGCGGTTCCTGTCCTCATGTCCTGTTTAGGTACCATATAAGTCAGTCCTGCCACTTGATCATATGATCTGTTCATTACTTCAGCCCCTGCGATTGAAACATTCCCCTGGACAATCAAAGTATACTAGCGGCCGAAAATTACGCTGCTATGATTCTCTAGGTGAGCAATTTCATCAAATGCGAATTCCATCGACGTTTCCAAAACCATCGCCAATGCTCATTTTCTAGCTTACCATTGAACGTGTTGGGAAAGATCGTACTGGCGACGCTTAATAATAGTTCCGTAGCCGTCATGGAAGCTGACGCAAAACAAGGACACCCACTGTCAGCCAATACCTGGTTTAGAAATGTATGCGTGTGTGTTCCCCTCTGAAAGACGCTTATCCTGCTAGCACATATTCCCGTTCAATAGGACTAGGCAAAAATAAAGTGGGCGGGGTCATTGTCTAGCCCAAAGGGTCATTCGTATTTTGTCTTCGTGCAACTGATGACTCATCCTGCAAGTTTTTTTCACACAGATAGCACGGACACGTTTCCTGCGTATGTTATCCAGTAGAAGCCATCGGGCAAACGGACTGCTTCTCGTCACTTGTTCGCGGGATACTAGAATGAATTGGGCTAGCTGTCAAGATTCCAGTCGTAGGCCCCGCCAAGTAGCCCATCCGCCCTATCAAAATGGGAGGTCAATGATTGGGATTTCAACAGATGGTCCAGTCCACCCCGGTCCTCTTAAAACAAATAGCGAAAAGTATTTCGATTGTCAAAAAAACTATGATCGATCCGGACACGGAGGACGCCTAAACATCTTCGACCTTTTCGATTAGAGTCTGCGTTGTCGTGAGACCAAAGTTAAGTAGTGATGCACTTGGCCAAAACCCGTCGGAGAGGCGGTTAGGGACAGGGTAACTAGTGCTTAAAGAGCCACTGAGGATTCCAGATGATGCAGCGGGAACGTTAAAACCTAAGAAAAAGGGAAAAAAGGGGTATCGGGAAGAACATGAGTATACAAATGTGACCCAAGCTAACAAAGCGTAAATAAAAACACTGGAGGAGGAGAAGCAGAAAAGATGAAAAAACTATGGAAAGGTTGTGAATACACTCGCCAAACCCCAAAAGACCAAAAAAGAAATATTTTTTGCCTGTCCAACACTTACATCACAAGCATCGTCACCATATAGGCCTCCGAGGCTAACCAACTACCTTTTCGCTACCAACTGATTACAAAACTTATGACTGCTTTATTTTGACTTCATGTGTACTCAAAAACTGCTACAAACGCGTAAAGTGTTGTCCCGAAAACTAATTCTCCATGTCCTCTTTCACCCAGTTGTTTAATGCACCCTATTAGAAGGAGCGGGCGCTTCGGCTGGGGTTCGCCGCCTCATTTTATTGAGTGCGTCTGTCGACGCTCTTGATGGGCTTGTCCAATGTACTCCTCATCAAGAGTCCTGCGGGAGCTCCTGATGAACGCTTTTGCTGGACCGAATTCACAGTAAGCAAACCTACTGGCAGATGTAGCTGCATCTTTCGTTTTGTTTTCGTCTCTTGAATGACCTGCGCGGTTTTCTCTTCTATAGGACGGTAAAGCACGCGATGAAAATAGGGAACTGTATGAGTGTCTTAACTTCGTCCTTTGTGATGTCAAGGAGCTCAGCAGGAACGCCGCACTGCTGAATGAGTTTACGTCTATTAATTGGAAGTCATGGGAATCTGTTTCTGCGTTCTGTGATCTTTACAACTCCTGCATTTCGGATCTATGGTCAAAGGTAAGATTCAAGTTGTAATTTGGTATTTTCAGTGGAACGAAAAAGGGGTCCGCCCCGAATTTTGTAACCGACGTGCCAATACCAATCAACTCAAGAGTATCTTAGCCCAGTGCTATAACAGAGCTGTTGAGGACCCAGAAAAGCTGAACCAATATCCTCCATTTTCCCCCCAAGTTTATGGCGAAACCTCCTTTGAACTCGTCTCCCAGATGGTTAACACAATTTCTATCACGAATGAGGATTCATTTATCGACCTCGGTAGTGGCGTAGGCCAGGTCGTGCTCCAAGTTGCCGCATCCAGCAATGCGAAATTTTCATATGGTATCGAGAAGGCGGACTATCCTTCACGTTGCGCGGAGAAAATGGACAAGGAGTTTCGCCGGTGGATGGCCTTTTACGGGAAAACGTACCAACCATATGCGGTAAGTGGACGTCCTTTGTGTTTCGATGCCATTTTCCTTTTTTTCCACCTGAATTTATGTCCATAATTCTCCTCTTCCTCAGCACCCACCTGTTTCCACGTAGTTGAGTGACTAGAAATACAGAGCATCCTTTGGGTTTTTAGGATGCTTTTTTGCTTCTAATGTTGCCTTTACAATCTATGTCAGAGCAGGATATTCCCTCGCCAAAGAGTTCTGTAATTAATCGATCGGAACTATATTCTAGCACCACAGTCGTAGTCAAAAATCTACCTGGACAATCCACTACCCTTATCTGACTCTTTCTCTGATGATCAGTTCGAGTGAGAACCCGAAACGTCAGGCTAACAAAGCATTTGTTCCAGCGATCGTGTCTCCGCGACAGATTCTCGGAACTCGCCTTTTCGCTCCTATTAGAGAATTCATCTGTCCTCGCATCGAAGATAGATTGACTGTTCATGCATCTCAGACGTAGACATATTTCGCCGTCAACCTATGCCTTTACCCATCGATGAAAAATTGTATATACTCCTGGTTCACTGCATTTTATGCTTAGTCTGGGGTACAGCGACAGCATAGCTCAAATTTGTTGTAATGGGCTAGAAAATGACTATCATAGACAATGTTTCTGCCTCCTGTTCCTTGTTGTGTCTAAGCCTGGAAAAACATGTTTCGCAGTTTACAAAAATAGCCTTATCCTGATCGTCTGTCTTCGTTTCAGTTAGTGCAGGGTGACTTTCTCTCTCCCGAATGCACTGAAAGAATAATTTCGTCAACAATCATTTTCGCGAATAACTTTGCATTCGGACCCGAAGTTGATCATCAGCTTAAAGAACGCTTTGCAAATTTAAAGGAAGGCGCAAAAATCATTGCCTCAAAAGCGTTTTGCTCGCTTAACTTCCGCATAAGCGACCGCAAACTTGATGGTAAGTCCGCCTTCTGAACAATAACTGCACGCTTGCTTATATTCACTAAGCCCATGTTGGCATATCGTAGCCGATATAAGTGAATCCATTTATTGCTCATAGCCTACGTGTCATTTTAGTAGCCCTTTTAGGCAGCTGAGCTGGTTTCCTACAATTTAAACCCCTGTTTTACATCTCAGGACTTGGTTTCTATGAAACCGCCTCGGTTTATTTTGACTGATAATTTCATCTTTCAGCTTTCAGTAACTTTTCAAAAATTATGTCGAACCTGAGACAATCGTATATTTTTCTTCCAGACATCGGTTCGATAATGCATGTTACATGCCTGAACCCTATCCAAGATGCAGTCTCATGGACAGACAAGCCGTTCAGTTACTATGTTCACACAATTGATCATTCCCTTGTGAGTACCATTTGGTTGGGTGGTTTTTGCGTGTGCTGGTTTCACAGGGCCCTTTGGGTGAGAAATAAGTAGAGCGCCACTGTTTTCCCTTCTAATTGCACCGCACTTGCCCTCACGACAGCAATCCTTTTTCCTCAATCTTTAGACGTCATCGTTTTGCCTTTTGTTGCCCTCTGAACGTCGTCTGCTCAGATTTCGTAATGCGTCCCTTTAGAAGAAAGCCGTGTCATTTTTTCAATGTGTCCAATGGTTTTACATACGACAAAAAAACCTCCGCATACCACATACTTGTGGGCCGTTTGGCACATGTGGTGATTAATATCGGAATTCTCCATAACTGCAGTAGGTTTACCCCGACTTCCAGCTTTTCACCTTTAACGTCTAGTGCCTCATTTGTCCTACTTCAGTCTACTCCCATGCGAACATTACTCGACTGTTGTTGTACATGACTAGGGGTGCACACTTAAGTTTTGAGCCGTAAGGCATTCGTTTTTGCTTGCGCCTAACTTGCCTCGCGGCGACGGCTTGAAATTCGTGAACGTCTTATTAGTGATTTGCTTTATCCTTGCATAATTCGTCTTCCCCGTTCCCTCGTACGCTTTTTAGTTGGAACAGTACTTCTCAAGGCTTAAAAACCCTAAATTGAAGGTAAGTGTCATTAACAATGGTTGTGTTCATTCCAATTTGTCAATTTTCCCATTTGTTACTCAGCCAAAACTGTTGTCACTGTTACGTTCTCTACCTTTTCCGCACTACTTTCTGACTGATTGCTGCAGTGGCCCGTCCCTCTTGCTGCATTCAGTATCCAGTTGAAACCCCCCCCCCTGACAGTGAAAACCATTGACTCAACACTTTAAGGTCGGTTCTGCGGCGTCCGTTCCTTCCATTGGCTCTCTGCACATAGGCGGAGCCTACTAGTCGTAGGAGCTACATTTGTCCATTTTTTAATCTGCTTGACCTGACTAGAACAAGATATTAATCAGTGAAACGAAATTTTGACGGATCACTAGATATCTAGTCCTAGACAGAATCCGAATATTTCACGTCCAGCACGCAGGTCTCCTGAAACATACTGTTGATTTGCTTGTTAAAACCAAAGAATAGCAAATTCAATAAAAAGCTGAATGCCACCTTGCCCTTCACAGGGCTACCCGGTTTGAAGTGTAGTTGCGTTTGTTTTCTTGAAAATCTGCTGAAGTTGCATCCTAACATTAGTATTTTTTGGTCACCCAGAATGGCGATGTCTCTGGTCGGCGTGAACGCAAGAATAAGCAGAGTCAGGTATGAACTCGTCATTTTTCATCTATTTTGTCACCGATATGTTAGTGGTAGTTCCTCAGTAGTTTCTAAAGGTCATAAAATACGCTTTTCCGATCATCAGGTTACATGTTAGATTGTGCCCCAAAGAAGAAGTCTAAAAATTAGAACCTTCATCTATACTACGCCGATTGACATTTCTATCTCTCCACTTTAGTCAGGAAATACCTCATCCGGGAGTGGAAGTAACAGTGGGGGTAATAAATCCAGCACAGTACCTCCAGATGGGACCGGCAGCATCCGCAGAAAGTGTTTCATCAAACGCATGAAACGAAGCCGCAGCCTAAAACGACTGGTTTGTGGACGACCAAACAATCGCCCTCGGGGTCACATGTCCAAAGTCGCCTCTACGGCAGCTACTGGTGCTCGCCAGCCGGATGCCGACAACAGTGGAACCAGTCGTGGCAAACGTGGTCCGAGGAGGAAGCGACGACCTCAGCCACCGTCCTCGACAGCGCCTTCTCTGCTGCTGCCCCCACCTCCACTTGATCCTTGTAACTCCTCTGCCTCCTCGCACGTCTCAACGCCCGAGTCATTCTCCTCGGTGGAACCACATTTCTCTTCATCATCCTCCAGTGCGTCACATTTTGTCGCCTCCGAGGATGGAATTAGTTGCAGCAGCAGTTGTTGCGGTGTTGACAGCGGTCGGAGCACGGTGACCCTGAAGCCCTCAGAGGCGCACACCTCCCTGTCCGCGGCACCTTCGCTGCCGCCTGCCATGGTCTCGTCTGCTGAAGTCGGCTTGACTCCTCGTTCATCTGCCATCGGTAAGTAACAAGGAAGGGCCATATTACTGCGCATAGCCTATCGTTGAAACTTGTTAAACCTTTGCCCACATGCATGAGATCTGGGGAGACACTTTTCTCTTGGAGGGAGGACTTGTTGCCCAGAGGGCGAAATATTAGAGCTGTTATTACTAGCTTCCTTTATAGCACTAGTGGTTTGCACGTCGTCACTGGTGCCTAATCAGTAGCGGCCTACGAACACGCTCTAGTGTACCTTCAGCCACCAGGGCCCTGAGAAGCATCTCTACGTTGAGCTAATTTTATCCTATTAACGGTTAAGATCGGCCCCATCTTCAGTCTGTCTCGTGATTTGGTTGTTAGATATGTAGTTTTGGTGTCCTTCGGTGGTTTTGTTGCCTGTAAGCCGTCTACTAGATAGCGGAATTTGAAAGAGCCGGTGTCGCTGGCATTGACGTGGCTCGCAACAAACAAAACCTTAATTGTCATTGAGCAATCATCTTCAGGTGTAGCACCTCGTTAACGCCTGGGGCTGTTGCGTCGACTCATTTGTCATCCTCCCTCATCTGCTTTTTGTCGCTCTCCCCTCTTGAGGTGTGGGTCTTAGCCGTCTAGACTATATTGAAGTTTCAGTTCGTGATGATAAGGCCAGGCCGACAAGTCATCGCTAGCAATCCAGATCTTCGCCAGTGCTTCTCTACCTTTTCTCGATCATGGCAGATCTTATTTGGTGGGTTTTTGCCTCGCCTGCATAAACGTCTCATTGACGCCTTTAGGAGTGATTCGCATGAAAGTACTCTGTGTTGCGGAGTGAACCTCGACTTCGGCATTCGAATGCTTTGATGGCACCCTCGAAGGATTCTGTCGAAGACCGACTCCTCTAGTTGGGATGGACTTCTAAAAGATCCATCCGGAACACCATTGTCTTCTTGTCTAATTGATTATATTTATTTTTAGGTGCCAACTTTCAGAAGGCACAGAAAATACAATTTATAAAGTGTCTCTGGTTGTCGCGTTAGGACTATATGTTTGTCTGTATCAGCAGTTCGAAGGTAGGACCTTAGTCCTCTGCCACCTCCCGCCCCTGCTGAAACCATTTCACGCCATCCTTTCCTCAAATAGGTGCTCCATATACCCCTAAGGCCGGACTATTTACTTTGTAACTTCCACGTGATCCTTGGTCTCCCCTTTCGCAGCACTTGGGCATCTAGTTGGATATCAACTAACCTGTATTAGTTGAGCCGGCTTTTTGCTCAGGTTCGCCGAGAAGAGCAGTCGGCACACCCGAAGCTCTACGGGTGGCATGGATATGGTCTGAAGGCTAACAACAGTAGGGTTAGCTATTTTAGCAGAAAGCTAAATGTCAAACAGCTCGCTCGCTCAGAGCATAAATTTATTGGAATTTCAGGCAGTCTATTTGGTAAGCGAAGTCCTCCTTTGAGCGAGGACCAGTCTGCGGCGACTTTTTTGATGTAGCCTTTATGATACTCAACAAAGCCTCATACGTGGGAGGCTGAAGACCGGGTCTGGCGTGACACGCGTAGGTGGGAAGTTTGCCTCACTGCGCTCACGCCCATCTCCAGTCGTCTCGACTGTGTCTTCCTGGGGGCGTGGTGGGTGTGGGGGCGAGTGAAGTCTGCTCCACTAGAGACAAATCCCAGTTCAAGTCATCACTGTGGCCTATCCGGTGCCATACTACATACATTATTCCTAATTTGCTTTCCAGACGGCAAGATCGATGACCCTAAGCCACCAACGACCAATCCACATATCAGCCCACGGGAAAGGCGGCTTCGGAGGCTTCGCAAGTCCACGGCTGAACAGCATATTGGTAGTATGCTGGTGTCAAAGAAGCGTCGCTCGGCGCCCACACCTACCGCCGCTGGCGGCGTTGTAAGCAGATCGCGCCAATCCCCCCTCGACACGCTACACCGACAAACTGTCAACAGTGTTCATGAACGCGTCGACACCTCGCTGGCGTACAATGACCCACAACAGTGTACCTTCGCAAGGTCCTACCAGCCTCTGGAGTTGTCGGGTTTAACGGCAGCCAAAGAGCACGCTAATCGAACCTACAGGGACCCGGTATTAGGACACAACGAAGATCCCGTCCCCCTTGCTCTGACACAGTACCTTGGTAAGTTGGATACACAAATGCTCTTCCTAAATACTGATCTGGCGGATTTCGGGCCATATATTTCTCTCCTTGTCAACCTCCCTAATCACCTTTTCTGTTAAGTTCCCGACAACGTTGCTATTTGACAGAGCACCCGGATTTTGAGGGTGTCGAGCTACCAGCAGGCTGCAGGTTCACTGACCTTAATTACGCCGAGGATGTTGCACTTGCGTTTTATAACAATAACGGACTAAAGGGAGCTATGGTCAGTACAAACGCAATTGCTAGACCTATTAGTCAATTTCGAGGTTTCCGATGAGACTGATGAGGATCACCGAGTCTTCTCTGTCTTCGAAAAGGCCTACGGAGCTCCTTACAAACTATCAACCTCAATCGACTTCGAACATGCAGGCAGTAAGATAAACTTCGCATCTGCACAGTTGCGAATGTTGGGTACGACCAACGAGTGATGGGCAGTGCTTACGAGCATATCCCATACCGCAAAAAAGTTAATTCGAATAGTTTTGGCAGGTTTTCCGTCACCCGCGCCGCGAGTCCAGTCCTGTTCTCTTCTAGCCCTGCCTTCTCACTGAATTCAACGAAGTGGTAATCTCGAAAATTTGCTTGACGCGGTCTATTAGCATACGGCGGCGGCTCTTGAAGTTACGTTATTCGGCCTTTGACGCTAGAGAAGAGGGTGAGTCAAGCTCACCAGATCCACCGCTTCTGTGCGTGGAAGACGCGACGCTGAGCACCTATGAGGCCGGATTGCTCAACCCTGCTCACAATTGTGTCAAGTAACTTGTCCTCAAAGCGTTCTGAGGGTATGATGTGCCGATTTCCTTGAATGAGGCGGTTCTCTCCACTGCAATCTGGAAAAATCCCAGTTTGTACAAAGTAGTTTTGGGCAATTTGGGTTTTAATCAGTCAACCTCGTTGTTTCTGGCCTGAACCCTAAGCATGATCAAACACCATCTGACGAACCCCTGACAGCTTCCTACACCCGACACTACTGCTGAGCCCGGTCGAGCCTCCAATTACTTTTTGAACACAAATGGACCGAATCTGAAACCGGTGGTGTTCCTGTGCGAAGCATCCATAATCACAGTTGCCATCCTCTGGGAAGCCTTGAGTTCCCTATTTAACAGTTTTTTTCGACATCCTCACGGAAGCAATCGTAGTTACAGGAGAATGAAATACAACGGTTTGTCAGCACTCACATCAAACACTATTAGAGGGGAGTTGAAATGCCTCGGGACAATGTTACAAGTACTGTTGTTTGTGTTGTTACCCATTTGCAACCGTCAAGATCTCATCGCTCCGCCTTCCTCTGTCCAACTTTGCGTGGGTTTGAGTCGGCATTCCACTTTGTCACGTTCATTTATCGACTGTTTCGTCTCCCTCTCAGTAATCATGACTGACGACCGTACCCCTTCCCGCTCCCTGCCTTCACACTTCTTCCCACACAGAACTCACAAAACGTGTCTTTATGGACCACCTTGCGGCCATGCGCTCCCCGGAGTATGCACAACTTGTCCGTGCTGAGATGCAACGCGAGGAAGCACGCCGCGATGCACTACAGGAGCGCGTCCGGACCCTAGAGGAGGCCATCCGTCGCATGCATTCGGAGGGCAGCTCCCTCCTGACGAACTTTACCAAGCGCGTAAGTTGCAATCGCCTGTCCTTGCTTCTCCTTGCACTTGCCTCCTCCGCGTCACGTCAGACACCCAAGGCCAGTATAATAAAGGGTAACGCAGTCTCATATTGAATAGTGGTTGGAGATATATATGTATATACCCCTCCCCAGCACTGTGCAATACCACCTCCAGTAGGAACTTGAGGTAGAAGGGCTTGACAGATGAGGCCTTTTAAAGGAGCGAACGGTACGTTTGAAGTTGTACACCAAGCCAGTAGATCATATTTACGCCATATGATTGTTCGGCTGCATAAAACCACTCCGAATTCAACCCCGCGTAATATAAGTGACCGATAGAAGACAGTACAATCTCGTAAAGAAAATGCTGCACGCTCATTTTCAGTATGGAGTCAGGTAACCGATCCGGAAACGGGATGACTAATGAGCCTTTGGTAAGGCTGTCAGGGTCCCATCCGTAATAGAGGTTTTCTTGCGCCAAAGTGTTGGGGAGGTGTATACATTCATATCCGATCGGAATAATTGCACGTATTCATTTATTATTCGCCGTTTTTTCGTGGGAATTGGTGCCGCCGTTCCTGCCAGGGTGATCTTCACCTTTGCCAACTTACAAAGGTTCACATTGTAGCCCACCAGCACGTTTTTTGCCCATACTATGTCAATTTATTTAAGTTTCATCGGTGAGACTGACTTATGTGGACGTCTAAGCAGGACATGGAAATAGGAACGCTCCGCCCAAGTAATGAAGTTGAGCCTGCACATAATTTTAAAAAAGGAAAAAATATTCCCGTGTCCTAACCCCAACATTAAACCTAATATAAAACTAAACCTTTGCCCTACTCTTGACCCTAACCCTACCCTAAACCTTAACTCTGCCGTTAACACTAGCCCCTAGACTTGATCCTGGCTTACGTTAACACGAACCTTAAATCTAACCCTAAACCTTACCTTAACCTAACCCTAATTTAACTGGAAGTTGGCTCAAAGCGACCCGTGTTGCAGGCAGTTCATGTTCTTATGCCCTTTTTTAGACGTCGACATAAGTCAGTCCTACCGCTTTATCAGCCGACCTCCTTCAGAACTGTTGGCGTTTGCTCCTGTCTGCAAATTCTGCAAAACTCTGCTATGGAAACGGTCCATCCACCGGGTCTAAGAAGGGGTGTTGCTGCCGCGGTAGCTACCAACGGCGTCGATAATGCCGGCGTCAACCAGCTGACGATACGCCTTGCCAGTGTTTGTTTACTGGGTTCATTAGTCATTCTGACCTGTGGGGTTTGTCCGCTAGTTGGTTCATGTGCGTTGTCTTTGCGTTAGCGCGCGTGTGTGGTGTGCTCTAGAATGCGGACTGGATCTCAATTGCAGACAGCAGATAGGAGCGGAGAGCCTACATGCCAGCGCGTGTCCACGCCATAGCATTAATTTCAATCGTCACGTGGAATCGCTTACTTTTCCTGATGCACCTCGTCTGTTTTCATTTTCTCCCGTATTTTCATAGTTGGGAATCCTAATTACAACTCCCGCGGCATTCTTCGCAGAGGCGCGTAAACTCATTAAACAGCACCGCGCTCTAGAGGAGAAGATCTCTGAACTTCACTCCGAGGTAAGCACTCCTAGAAGCCCCTTTTTATTCACTTTTTTTCCTTTTGACCGCCAGTCTCTTCTCGTTTACATTTTTCGAACCGGTGTAGTGACTAAGACACCCGTGCCTTCAAACTGGTATGCTTAGTCCTTACTTCGGCTGTTCTTCACGCAGGGAAACACCCCGTGTCGCTCATTCATGCTGCCGAGATTCGGTTATCGTAAATCGATTACCAGTATTCTGTCATTTTACGATGGAATCAAGTGTTCCCTTTTGGCCCCGTTTTTTCCGATGGTAGGATCCACTGTTCCGCTGTCAGAGCTCCACCTTTGGACTCGAAGTCTTCGTCTCCACTCTTCAGGCGCGAGTTTCATTCGTATCCGACAGCCGGCTCTAGTGTGTGCGCGCACGTCAAATAATTTAGCCGCTAACGTGCTGTGATTGATCCTCGGGGAGGGGGGCGGAAGAACATTACCTGGGGGCTCTGGGCTCCTCCCACCTCGACAGCTCATTACGTGACTTTTCGCCGAGAGACTTTTGAGACAGACAAATTCACACCTGCGTTGTTAAGCCTCCGCCCCGCTTACCCATTTCGTCCCCCAGTATTACTAGTTACCCCCGTCGAGTGATTGTATACCAAAGTACATCTCAAGCAGGGTTTAGGGCGATAACACAATTTGCGAGTGCGGAACTTAAAGAAGGGTGTAGAGCTGACGCATTTTTGTTCCTCCTAAGGATCCTATTTGACATTACTAGTTGTTGACATATCAAAAATCTCAGTTTATTGTCCTAGTTCGATCGTTGCACCATCTGTTGTTGCCGGCAGGATTTGAATCTCACTTCTAGTTGCTCCGAGTTGTCTGCGGTTGTGATCTCGCGAGTACAGGTTAGAACGACTTATCAACTTACTGCTCGACCCCTGTCGACTAGCGGTTACAGTGTTTCGCTAACCTATCAAGCCAGACTTTTGCCTGTTTCCTTACCTTTTTTTGCTCGAGAGCTTTTCATCGCCCTCACTCCGTTCATCCCCCTACAGGTGTCGCGGCTCTCCGCTTCAAACCAGGAATTAGTTAGACGGCACCAGGAGGAAGCAGCTCGTTTGCAGGCCCTCCTAAGGCCCTTTACGCCGTCGCCCCCAGCCAGTAGTAAACCCTTCTCGGTTTCCGAGAGGCCACCTCTACTGCCACGCGCTGAACCACTCCGCCACCCTAAGTCATCCTCAAGGCGTCACTCCTCGCGCCCGGCAGGCGCCTCCCTACATCCACCGCTCTTGCGTCCGGAGACGGAGGTGACCTCACCCTTGATTAATGCGATCGCAACAGCGACGACCTCGGTAGAACCTCTGGTGCTTCCAGTACCCCCACCACCGAAGCTGATTCGCGTCTCTTACTCCCCGCCGCCGCTTATATCTACTCCGGTCGTCACAACCGCCGCCTCTGTTGTCTGTCAGCCGTCAGAGACTTCATTCGAAACCCCACCACCACCCAGCCTGGTTCCGGTCACCACCGCTCAAGTCGGTGACAGTAGCAGCGGCGATAACTGTGACGCTGGTAGTGCCTTGCCTCCTCCGCCAACTCTCCTTCCCTTAGCTGATCGGAGGCCTGCTTTGGAAGGTGTTGGTGATTGTTCCAGCTCGCCGCCGCCACCACCTGCCTCTCCCCTGCAGGAGACAACAGGAAGCGTTGCCAGGGGGACTGTGGCCCCGTTCACAACGCCCCAGCGGTTATCCATGCACGCCTCGGTGCAGGGTATAATTGATGAGGAGTTGGCCTCCGCCGATCCAGTGCATTTGATTCCTGGCTTGTCCCCTCCAGAGCCCAGCTGTGACTCCCGCCACTTAAGGCTAATGCCCAGTTTGCAGATCAGTGGAGATGAGGCTGATCCTCCGGTGAGTGTGCACGCAAACACTTATGCCTTCCCATGAACGACTAAGTCCATGTGTTGACACTGGGGGCTCGGTGCCGCAGCCCCCAGTTTATGTTCGCGACACAGTAGATTCGCGTTTCCAGAAACTGGTGATGTCGGGGCCTTGCGGTTATTACTCCCTATCCTGAGAAGGCAACGCGAGTGTGCGACTTCGATTGTGTCCCCTTTTTCGGTAGTTTTAGAAGTACTTTAGGTAATGGCCACTTGGGACAACAATTGGCCGTCGTCCTTTCCGACAGTAACTTCACTTTGCCTCTGAAGCCGTTACTTGCCACCTCTCTTCCCAATAACTCCCACTTGTGGACCCAGAATCTGATGTCTTACTGAAGGCGTCTCAGTACAACGTATTGTAGTCTACTGCATGAAATTTGGCGTTGCCTGTCTCCAGCGCCTAGAAGCTGTGCAAACTGTCCACGCTGTTCGTCTCCTGTTAAACTTTTATAACCTTGTCGGCAAGTTTTCTGAAGGGCATATAAGGTCCGATCTGGGCCATTTTTAAGGATAGTCTGTTGTTGTTTATCATTTTCGAGAGCCATTGGGGTGAAAGGTCGGCGGTATGTCACTTGGAAGCGGCATACCTAGCTCCTACGCCACGTCTTTCTCCCACGCCGGGACTCATCCGGGCACTCGTCAGTAGAGAAGTCGATTGCGTAACCTTTGTTGTGCCGCGGGGTCATTATCATGCGGTTCAAACCGTCTTGGCACTGTCAACCTAGTCGCCCCGCCAGCCGTACTGTTCCATTATAGACACGTTTTCGGCGTCTTTTGATCTTTCTACTGGGCCGCTCATAGCTCCCAAACCCTACATCGTTTGCGTCTGCACCTGATCCCCTTACATGCCTTTTTCGACTGGGCGCTTATGTCGGTCCACAACCTCTTTGATGTCGACACGCTGGCCTCGTTACTGTTCCTCTACCTCAAAGGGAAGGGGGAGCGTCTGGATTGTCCGTGTTCCTTGCTAGCACTGCAGGGAAGGTTTAGTATGCCCTTGCGCACACTATCTGCAACATCATAGCTGTTATCATGATGCTTCACTGTTCCCCATCTTCGGTTTTTTACATCAGCTCCTCACCCTTTCTTCCTTTATCAGCTCCACTCCACTGAACCGGTGTCGTGTGCCATTCCACCCCGCAAACGTCACCGAGCTGGCCTTGGTGGTAGTGGCGATACGGCTACACATCGCTTCCCGCCGATTCCCTGTGTTTCCTCAGTTGAGCAGCAGTTGCGGGTGCCCCATCCCGTCGTCTGAATATTGCATGCATTTGTCCCTCTCGGCTCTCTCTCTCTCTGTGTATGTGTCTCTCCCCGTCATTGTGGAGAGCTGTGACACATGCGGACGCAAAAGCAGCGTACATTACTACCTCGGAAGACCGTCATGCCTTTTGACGGTGGCGGAGGCGCGCCCTTGGCAGCCTCTGTGCCATTTCCACACTCCATGGAGGAGGCTATCTTGTTTCTCCCCACTTTTTTCTACATATGTATCTAGGTACAACCTCTCTGTGCTGGTGTACACACCTTTGTATAGCCATTTTGATTTAGATCCTTTTCCGAGTTGATCAACAGAGACAGAGTATGCGGGGGGGGAGAAGAGATGTGAGTATGGTGGGTTTTGGACTTTGGCTTCTAGATTTAGCTTGATTGTCCAACGAACACTTTGTCCTGCTGAACACTTCTCTAGGCTCATGTATTTGCTCTACTCTAGTTACCTTTTCAGACTAGATATTTTTTTTCTATTCAACTGTATAGCCCTTTGTGGCACTGCTTCCACGCCCCCTCTTTTTATCACCGAGGTGTAGGAGGAAGCACCAACACACCATCAGGCACTTTCCTGTGGACTGTCTGGCTAGCTCCTTTTGCATTTTTTTTGCTCTCACACACACGCGAATTTTAGGCGGTTGTTTCTGTCAAATGGTTCAATTTCTTCTCAATTTGTAACCTGTCACCCTCAGTTGTGACATTCCAATATTCTACTCCTTAGGATTTTTTGCGGTTTGACTTTGTGTTCTCCACCCACGTAGATATTCATGTCGCCAGGTTCCACCCCTGCCTCACCGCCACCGATTGTCATCTTTTTCTCACTTTTTTGATTTGGCATTGCGCTTTTCAACCAAAAATAAACTACTATAACTCCCTGATAGGTTCCTCTTCCCCCTGTCTCGCACTCAACACCCCCGTTGGCGGTGGTCTACCAAGAGGAGAGCATGCATTGCAGAGTTTATACTTATTTAATTCTAGGCATACAACTTTGTTTCCTCTGTTTGGAGTTGCACACGTTTCACAGTTTTTATCCTTACTACTATCACTCACCGACGACCGTTCACATAGCAATAAAGAAAGTTTACTATTCCACTTAGTACCTGGACTTTTTGTTTTATCTTGTTTGTGGGTGGAAGACAGGGTCGTTTTCTCCGTACTTGACAGAACTGCTGAAGCAATGCAACCTTTGCTGTTCGAGGACTTCAGGGCTGGGGTGCGGATTAAGGTACTATGAAGGATCCAATATTGAGCAGTGGGGCTTACTGCCCTGAACTCTCGAACTCTCCTTTGCTTCCACCATCGCAGTTAAGACCAATTTCGTCAGACGAACGTTCTGATGTCGCCATTGGCTAGTAACCTGCTGTCTTTGAGAACTGCCGGTCGGCGCGGAATCGAAGCACGCTGATAGCAGACGGACGAGGATGTAACTCATTCGAGGTAACTGCAGCATTCTGAGGCACTTGGGATGATTTTGCTTCATTGTGGTCGATGTATTTAGTCCCCCTAAGGACTGTACGTGGGAGTGCGCCTTCAACACCGTTTTGCGTGCGGCGAGGCTATAGTTTGCCGCCGAACCCTCACCCACCAAGCGTATTATTAGGCGTGTCTGTGTTACCATAGACAATCGGGCAGTTTGGTATACTTAGACGCATGCGACTCGTCGCACTTCCTTTACTCTGCTTCTCTTGTCGAGGCTGGGATACACGTCCTGTGATGAGAATCTTCGGTACTTCTCTAGTCAGTGCGACTGACGGGGGACTTCATGCGTCGTGCACGGGTGGTTCGCCTTGCCATCTTCGCCACACAGCAGACGCTGGCGGTGATTTATTGACGTGGAGTTGTGGCCGAAATCTGCGATATGATGTCTTTTTAGCCCACAAATTGTTCACGTCCAATGGTATTGGCTCGCCTACGCGCATTTCTGCGCGCGCCGGTAGGAGATTACGGGAAGGCTATCGCGTCGTAGCCATGGTGATGGTATACTCCTTTTATATCACAGGACCCCGGCTCGCCGAGAGGTTGCGGGCTTGTATTCCAGCCAGTGGGTGAAGTTCCTTCTTTTTTTCAAGAAATCACGGTTGCGACTGGACATTTTGCGCTGGAAATGTCAACTCAGTTCTGCAACTAGGGCGCGAGATGGCTTTGCCGTCCCTTGGCGCGCTCTCCCGTGTCGAGGTCACCTACAGTCTTACAACAAGGTGGGGTAGGTCTACGGACACCGTTATGTTGCCTAGGTGCATGTCGCTTGCGACAACACTCGACTTGCAAACATTTAGGAGATATCACAACGATGAGTTTTCAGCCGCTCGATGCCCTGTATAGTAGCGTTGTGGAGAAGGCCGAAAGGGAATATAACTGTCGTTTGACTTGGACAAAGCGTTTGAGATGGATGAGATAAAGCTCACGTCAGCCTCCAGGCAGACCTTCGTCTCCATGTCCTTTTTTACCTGGAATTCGGTCGTTCGGCCAATAACTGTACTGCCAAATTGCGGTGCGTAGACAGGGAAAACCCTGTAAGTGCGCCAGTTCTTTGAAGTTAACCGCCAATACCGTTCCAAACTGACTTTTAGGTTGTCTGCCCTTACGTTTTTGTGGCGCAACAGCATCTTCAGTCTGGGCGCCAAAAACTCGTCCTAGCAGCTTAACCTAACGGTTCAGGACCTGAAATATCAATAACAGAACCAGTTTTTTTCAAGGACAGGCCTAGAAGGCTTGGACATCTATTCATATATATTGGCAAAGCAGATCACCACCTCGATATAGTTTTTACTTGCCCATTACCTCCCGCACTCTGACTTATAACTTCCATTTAAAGTCAGCATGGCGAAACAACTATTTCCGTCTATCACGAAATATGTAGATACAGGTGGTAAAATGGAATCGAGCCTCTCTGTAAACCGTGCATTTATCTTGGGTTCCACAACCATCTCATCATCGGAAAAGGAATAGGGGACTCGTCCGTCAAGGTTTCTTGTCTGTCAAAGTGGTGTATGAAAGTCTGCAGGGTTGATCTGCTAGTCCACTTCGAAACTAGAAGTCGGAGAGACAAGGTTGACAATGCAGCCATTTCTGACGTAGAGCACACGAGGTGCTGCTGGTGTGTGCTGGTTAGTGTCCGAACAGCGTGAACCAGAGATGCGTCCTGATGAGGGTAATGCTCAGTCAGGCGGCACAGTGTCAACCAGTGCACTTTCGACCCCACCCCAGGCCGTTGACGCATGCGGAAGAGAAGACCGGTCTAGCCGCATGGTCCAAAAGCTCTGCAGTCCGCGCGGAAGAGGTCAGTTAGGCTGTAAAGTGATTTCTGTTGTTATTGGTCAAAACCCTGGTCAAGAGTGGACCAGAGGGTGTGGAATGGAGCCCCAAGATGCAGGTTTGACTGCACCAATCGCCTGCGCCCCCACCCGCCTTCGGTCTTCAATATTATGTCTTGATACCGGGCCCTGATGGAGAGAAGGAGGGGGTGCGGTGTATGCTGCGAAAGTCTACCCTTATTACAAACTAGTTTACACGCAAGTCACCGTGCCTTCTTCGCCTTGCTGTGGAGCATGTGGTGGACATCGTCGGATGCGAGGGTCGAACTATCAAAAGGATTTGATATTTTACTGTTAGAGTTTGGTGCTTCCGCAAAACGGCTATTAAAACCGCAGAGTTGGTAGCGTACTTGTCATTTTGAGAACTACCCCCGCCCTGCAGCCTTTTCATATTTAACTGGCCAAAGTTGTGTACAACGCCGGCTCACTGATGGCATCGTATGTTCGAAACATGCCCCTGAAAGCCTATCTGGCCTAATTTCTACGCAATGTAACATGATAGTTGCATCTGTTGGGGTGGTGTATGCTGGTTGGGTTGTGATCAATGGCGTGTCAGGCAAAACATTGTCTAGACGATAGAATAACAGACTCCAGAATTTTTCAGTCTCAAAATGCTGTTTTTTCATTCTTCCTCAGTTTTTCCTACGGCTATAATGTACATTCTGAGTCAGCGAATGTAACAGCCCAACTATTTCCTAGAATCGAACCCCGTTAGTAAGTCCGGCTGCTCTTGTACAGTAGGAAAAAGCTCTCTGTGTGACTCAGATCTGCGAGCAAACGTGACTTTCCTTGACTTGTGGAAACAGAGAGTAGTCATTGGGAGCAGAGACCAGACAGGCGTGATGGTGGCTAAAGCAAATAAGTTCAAGAAACAGCAATTAAGGCAACTGACTCTGGTGCCCAGTGGACCGGTGCTTTGTCACGACAGGGAATGAGCTCGCCAAATTTCTTTTAGAAATGACATTTGATCGGGTTTTCGAAAACTTCCGATGGGAACCCTTTGATACACTACTTAACTGTCACCATAGTTAGTTGTTGAGGAGGGGACTACACTAGAATTCCGCAAATGCTGAAAAGTCGCAAGCGGAGCTTTTCCAACTGACCCGCGACCTCAACCCTGACTGGGGTTGAACCACAATTTTGACCTCGAGCAGCTGATTGGGAACTTCGTTCTGGGTAATTGCCGTACATCGGCTGTTGTGTGTGGCACGCGCAGACGTTCTGTCTAGTTCTGTCAGCTATTTTCGCCCAGCACCCGCACTAGATGACTGATCGGATCGAACAGTGAACTGGTGCTTAGGAGACGGATACGAGAGTGACGCCGATTCTCGACGAATATTCCGCATGGTCAAAAATCTGACACGTTTTCAAACTATCAAGATGCAGTGAAAGACGACACTTGGAAGCATGCCAACTGACGGGCTTATTCGATCCTCACCCTCTTAGGATGGAGGTTCAGGCCGGAAGAACTCCTTTTTAACGAGGCCTCTATGGCGCTACCATTAATTCGGGATTCGAGTCGCCCCTCCTGCTTCTCTTTGTCCATTTTGTGCGGATCGGGCGTCTGCCTCGAAACCGGGCTCAGGAAGGTTAGGGAGAGGAGGGTGTGGTAGATGTTGCGAAAGTCTACTATCGCTATAGACTAATTCACGCTCAAATCACCGCCCCGGTGTCCACT